CTATATAAACAGCAAAAAAGAGAAAAAAAAATAATTACTTTCAATAATCAAGCCCATAAGGGAAACCAGAACAACTCAAAAGTAACAATCTGACTCTTCGCTTAAAAATCTCTTTGGAAACCTCCATGAGAGATCCTGGAAGACCGTTCCATATCTTTGACCCTCTATATAAAACACTAAACTGTGTTTGAGTTGTACGAAAGTAAGGTGGTCTAATAAGACMATGTCTTCGAGCTGAATACTGGTGAAGTTCGTTATTAAAAGTAAAAMTGTTACAAAAATGCTGGGGAAGTAACTTTTTTTTATAGAACTATAAACAAATAAAGCAATCTGAAGTTGATTCACTTGGTAAACACTAAGAATATTTGCCTGAGCAAACAGTGACTGAGAGGGATGTCTACGATTTACACCAAAAAAATAATTTGATCATGATGAGCGTTTCCTTGCACCAGGCTTTTATTCAGAGCAGAAGGACAGGTGCAGAGTTGTAAACTTTCCCTAAAAAAACACAGAAGTTCTACTTATGTTTTATGTTTTTCCTCCAGTTTTTTATGTACTGGTCTTAGTACCACATTATGAGACCTGGGAAAAAGGTATTTGCCAAGGGGAAATAATTGAAAAATCTAATTTGGGTCAGTGTGTGAACATATGGTCACTTGCTTTKCTTTGTCATGGCAGCTCTTGAACTTGAAGCCTAGTGAAGAAAAAGGTCTGACCAAACTCAGAGCAATGTCCTGAAGATATTCAACCATAAACAATAACAGGACTTGACTAAATGGTCAAACTCAGATTATTTGTGGAACTAACCCTGATGTTACACATAAAATAAATGGCAGATGTTCAATTGTAGTCAAGTTGTGTTTATTTTTATTAATGCTTTTCTTCTGCAGGCTGAGAAGGAAATATATCCCTCTGTAGAAATGCTGCAGGCAGAGAATCTCAGCTCTGCATCTTTCCCTGATTAATGTTTGTRTCATGCTGTTGTCCAATTTAAAGGTGTGCCAATGTTAAACATTACTTTTTGTTTAACAAAATAGTCTCTGACAAATGATGAGCTGATGWTTGTCAAGCACAATGGGCTTAATTCAATGAATACAGGAGCAGCATGTAACAGGCTGTGCAGCTTTTGTATCACATGGATGCTGGTTGTCTGAGGKACAAAATGGAACTGTTTCACAAGACATTGGTGGATTTGCAGTTTGATGAGGACATAAGAGAAATGTTCACTGCAGAATAACAGTAACTGTTGAGAAACACAGTACAATGCTATAAATGCAGTACAATATGTTAGAATTCAATGTGATACAATAATATGCAACATAAATGTTCAAATCTGATACAATACATTGTACATTACTGACTAACTAATCATTCTTTCTTAGGAACCTACAGGACCTGTAAATTTTTATTCCCAGTTGGTCACATTGTGTCAGAGTGKTTTTTTTTTTACTTCAACTTTGTAGGGAATTCAGACACCCAACATATATAAACTAAATGCAACYAAACTTATATTTATAGTCTTTTATAATCTGTCCTCTTTAATAAAATCCCCCCATTCCCATGTCCTTGTTGGCAGAGGTAAAGCACATTCCAAATTCCATATTAATGCCATTTTACATGAAACATTAATGTTGCCTTCAGACCCCATTTTCCCTCCCAGTGCACTTGCAGAGTTACCTGAAAACTTTATCAATATTCCCTCATTTTCAGTGGATACTTCAGTAAAAAGTATATTTTAGAAATAAGTTTTAATCTTGTTGTTTTTGTTGCAAACAGATGTTGTAAATAGAAGCTTTTTAAAGACAAAAAAAGATAAATTTGAAGATTGCATTCTGAAAAACCCAATCACTATTTTTCTSTTAAAAACAGTCAACAACTTCAGTATTTCAAGTAATTAAAAGTACCATTCATCTTTCATATGTATATTTTTAAACTGAACAAATTGCATTTTCTGAAAAATGCACTATGAAAGCTGAGTGCTGAAGGACTTTAAAGAAGTGTACTGAAAAGGATGGAACTGAGTTGTTAAAGTTCAAAGAAGCAGAACACATTTTAAACAGGAGCAAAATGCTAACTAACAGTGGCAAAATGCAAGCTAAAAGGAAAATAGTAGGTAAAAATTAAAACTAGCAAAATGCTAGTTACAAGTTTAAAGTACAAAATGCCAGCTGAAGGGAAAAAAGTAGCAAAACGCTAAAAGTAACAAAACACAAAAAGCTAAATCCATAAATGTAACAAAAGGCTATCTAAAAGCTAAAAGTAGCCAAACAACGAAAGGAGCAAAAGGCTTATAAATTTAACTGAAAATAGCCGATGTTATTAAATGGTTAAAAGATGTGTAACAAAACAAAAATAGAGCAAGAACATTGATTTAACATTTTTGTTGAAGGAACTTAAGATTCCAGTGTATGAATTGTATTGTTTGTGTGGTGATTATACACTGTAAAAGCDTATGAAAAGTCATCATCACCAACCCCCCCTTCACCCCCCCCTTTTTTTAAAGAGGGTACAAAACTGTCACTGAAGGTACAATTTTGGCCTGTATAAGGTACAAACTACCGTACAAGGGTACAAATAAGTACCCACTCTTGAGGGTACAATAACGGTACCTTTGAGGGTAACACCCCAGTGACAAGCCAATGTACTCCTAAAGGTACAATCTAGTACTTTTTTTTCTGACAGTGTATGAAGGCAAAAATGTTTGTACAAAAAAAGTTATCATTTTGGAAGGTGTAAAAGTTACAAATATGAAAGTCACAGTAATTGTGACTTTCCCTCTCAGCTTTAAGTGATGAAGAGAGAACAGCTCAATACTGCTGCCTTGGCAAGGACTCCCTTGAAAAAATGGTTTATAATCTCAATGGGATACTGTATTTACTGGTAAAAATAAAGGTTTAATGTCAGCTGGAATGCCCTGAATTTGACGGTTGAATGATAAAACAGCACAAAGTTTACAGATAAGGTACAATAAACAGAAAGCCTAAAAAGCAACAGGAAGGGAAGGCTGACTCAGCGTTCCTACGATTAAAAAGAGAAAATAAAAAAGCAGTATTAGCTTCACATTTATTATCAAACTTAACCAGGTAAAAATCAGCCATGACCGCCGTCAGCGCGGACGGATCCTTAACGAAGTCACAACGAGTAAAAACACATTAGAGGAGTTGTAGATGTCTCACACCTGCACAGACATTCCTTCTCTTAATGTGATCTGCATTGTGATAGCCTGCATGCGCTTTAGGTTTACATTACAGTCAAGACTTGAGCTTTTTAGCCAAAGCTCCCCGTGATTGAAATTCTCAGTCCGCCATCAATCTGCATTATAGACTGATTTCCTCTTGTCTGGTGGGGGCTAACTGAAACAGATTGAGACAGCTCTTGCTCGCTGCATCACTAATGGCTGGCAATGAAAGACGTCTCTGTGCGGTTGACCCGTATGTGGAACAGGATCACGTCGCAGCGCAGAGCGATGGAGAGCACAGCTCAATACAGGGAGTCTCTTCGGCATCAGTCACCAGTCAACAGCATCCTCGTCTTATTGACTAAATGTTGCCCAGAAATAGAATCTAATCACAGGGTTTGGACAGGCTCTGGTTCTCCAAATGGTTTACCATTAGCTGACTGGAACAAAGCCAAAAAAAGTATAGGGAAATATAACAATATATTCTCAATGCCTGTATTGCATGGTAATAATGGGCTCTCAATTATTGCCCCGACACTTGCAGAGATCAGAGGAAGGCTTTGCAGCTGAAATGATTACTTGCCCGCCTCTGCTTTGAATCCTCCTCATTATTTTCTGTCATACCGGTCTCCATTAACCTGTAAAGGCCCCAGAAAGCAGAAGCTAAATTCTGCGGGATACACATTTTCTCCATTAGGCTGTGGTGAATGGATGATACAGGAGAGTAGCCTTTAAGTGAAACAATTACCGAGCCATTTTGCAAGCAGGCCACAACAGAGTCATTACCTGCATGGCATAATTGACAGTGAACACAGGCAATCTTGTTAATTGATTACCCAGACCCTGTGGTAATGGAAAATGCAAAGTCCCATTGTATCAGCATCCGCGGTCCTTTAACCTTCCTGCAACACAGATAGACCCCTTAATGGTTCAAGACTTTTCTCCAAAGACCCTCCCCCACCYTCCTCCTATGAGGACCACTCAGTTAGTTCTGTGCTGGAGGGTGGCTTCCAAATGTTTCAAAGTGAAGTAATTTCTYSCGTATCAAAAACCGGATTCTAGACCCATGAGTGAGAAAGAGGAAAAGAAAACTACCTTAATTAAGATTGCGCCTTTCTTCTTCTCTTTCTTTCATAAAGCAGGTTGAGATGAGGATGCGGGTGTGTGCCCCCGCTCCCCTCTCGTGCAGGATTCAGCCTTCAGCTCCTCCTCTGATGCATCGTTTGCATCAGTACTTGGGAACACTTGTCCGCGCGCGGCTGCACCTCCCCACAGAGCGTTTACGGACTCCTCTCTGCCAGGTGATGACAGGAAAAACCAATCGTTCCTGACTAAAAATAAAAATAAGAACATTTCGTTTTTTTTTAAAGTTTGTATTTTAAACGCTTATTAGGTCTGAATTAATGGAGACGCGCGTCGGTCACTGCCATTTTGTCATTTTCTCGGAGTGGATTTGCCTCTTCATAATAACTTCCATCCAGGGCGGAACGGACGCAGAGGTAACGTGCATCCCCTCGTGCCAGCTGCCGCCGATTGAGGCATCATCCCGGGAACCGTGGCTGCTGGATTTGAGCGATTTTAGCGCGGCACCTGCCGAGGAACTGGTCGGGTTTGGTGCGGAGTTGCCCCGCTGGGAGGAAGAGCACAGCSCTGCGGAGCTGAGCGAAGAAAGTTTACCCGAAGTCCAGCCACGGCTGGAGGAAAATAAGACCAGCGGTCCGCAGAGAGACGCTTTRAATGACCTCGGGAAACTTTCCCACCCTTCCCCAAGTGATCCAACTCCCAGCAACGTGACCCAGAATCGCACCGGGGATGGAAGAAACGACCGTTTTTCTTTTCCGAGCGGGAACGTGCCGAGTTGGAGACGACCGCGGAGYGCGGAGACCTGGTCCGGATTCGGAACCGAGGGCGTCGGCGAGGATCCGGACCGGGAGGAGTTTCGTCTCACGAGTTCGACTTTTGCGCTCGCCGGGGACACGGCTCACAACCAGGCGATGGTGCACTGGTCCGGCCAAAACAGCAGCGTAAGTAGCCCCAGTTTGGTTTGGTCAGCTCCAGGTTTTTACGCACGGGCTTGTTTTTGACGCAGTGTGGTCAGTGCGCACTCCTGGCTTTTTTTTTTTAAAAGAATCATTCGACGCTTTTATTCTGACCTGAATGTGACAAAGATGAACTGCTGAGAGAATTCAGTTTTGTCTTCCTCCACCCCACCTCCTCTGCATCTCAAAAACACACACCCTAAATATTTTATTAGACATTTTGGGTGTTAATGTGGCAATTACAAGGAAAACCACCTTAGATTTGTTACACTTTTTGTACTTGTGTATAAGTTCAAAGTTATTAACACCCTTCTTTCCATTTCATTAATATTTATTTTGTCTGACAAAGCCTGACTCTCTGTGTGTGTTTGATCGATCCTATGCTGTGCGTAATTGAGGGAAGTAATGCTTTTTCTCCTTCTGCAGCTTTAATCCCCCTTGTTCAAAAACTGAACAAAAGGGTGAAACTCTTATATGTCAAATTCACAAGTTGAAAAAAATACATTTTCAGTGATTTTTGCTATAGAAAAATGGAAGAAAAATAAGAATAAAACAATAAAATAGCAAAGCTGACTGCAATAGAAAAACTAAGAAATAGAAATGGCCTCCCTAAATATTCTTCTGCAGTTTTTTTTACAATATTGTTTCAATGGTTTCAAACCTCCTCCATGGTGAATGAGAATCAACGTGAAGGCACTTAAAGCAACAAGCAATCTTCCCATGCCCCTCTCCATTTGCAGCTTCTAAGYAAAGAAATGTCAACATCTGTTTCAAAAAAGTCTTTGAGGCCATGTCATGTTTGTCTAAAACCACAATTACTTAGTGCTTTGGGCAAAGATGTGTGAAATATTTATATTTTCTCGAGAAAATTGAATTTCAAGTGAGTTTAAGAAGAAAACACACACTGAGTTCAATTCAACTTCAAAATAAGGCTATATTTAAGTGGACATCTTGAATTTATTTATTAAATTTGCAAAAAAAATGGACCTGAGGAAACAGAAATCTGAAATGTGTGGATGTCAGAATTTAGAAAACTCATATGTAATCCATATTTTAAAGAATGTATGCAGGATGTGAATGAGTTTTTACAATTTAACTGCTCAAATCGGTATAATTTTGTGTCATCAGCGCATATTTAAATCCCCTTCTATCTGAAGGGTTAATGGAGGATTCTGCTAAATGTCAGGTTTCTTAGAGGTATGCACAAAAAAGAGCAAAACATAGTTAAAATTTAGATCATTTATTGAGTTCATTCTTAAACATTATGAACTATTTCTCCACCTTTATTTAAACATTTAAGTGTTCCACCCTGTGTGTTTTGGTAACAAATGTTAATAAGTTACATCCAAAGCTCAATATTTTAATGGGATTCAGGTGGGAGCCATCATTTTCTGGATCCGCCACAATTATTTTCACACATTCATGGCAAACCTCTTCTCCCCCCCCACCCATGATGCACTTTGTCTCTTCCCACTCCATCTTTGTGGCACACCCTTTCCAACTCAGATACAGGTGGCTGCTAAAACGTTGGATTTTAACTGGTTTATTTAATATTAAAAACACCAAAAACACTTTTAGAATCAGATAATTAACATTATTTGAACAAAACATCAGTTTTATTTTTTTATTTTTCCCCAACATATCTTGGCTGTAAGACCTTCTACTGGCATGTTGGCACATAAAAAAATAATCATTTCAGGATCAGGGCTGAACATTTTCTAAAATGTTTGCTTCATTCACCCCCCAAAAAAGGAGAACCTATGAATTAATGTAGTGTTTGAATTTTTCTTACTGACTTATTATTTCAGTTAAAAATTCATTGAGTCCTTGAAACCATCCTGAGGGATATTTAGTTAATAAACACAGTCTGGCAATTAAAGGCCAAGTATTTCYTGAAGGAATTCAGATTGTAGCGCAGTGTTAAATCAACATGGCCACCACAGCTACGCCACAGGTTATTGTGGTAATGCTTGGAATAAGTGTCTAGAATGACTCTCAGCTACTACCACAAAAACGTTACCTCGTTAGCTGTAATTGGGTGTAAATTATACCTGTTTTTGTATTGGCAAAGGTTGCTGCGGCTCTTGACGTGGGTTGACTCCGAATGTAAGTCAGTCGTAGATATACGTTCTGTGAAAGTTTCAGTAAATTTTATTCATTGGTTGGTGGAGTTGATTGCAATGGTTGAGCAAAAGTTTTAAAAAACAGATATTGCACAATCATTTAATAATCAGAGTATATTTTGTTAATCAAATTTTAGCCAAATTTCAGTCAAATTGTCTGAGTAAAGCCATTATTGTGTTCTCTTAGTGGGCTTAACCTTGGTAGCCATCTTGAATTTCACGGACTCCATAAGTGAATCCATTGTAGATGTTTATCAATAATTACTTTCTCACAGCTTTATGCACATTTAGAGATTCATAGGATATTTTGCACTCACTACAGATACATGAAAACACACACAGATGGTGGTCAAAGCTTTGCTGCTGCTGTTTTAGCTTCCACATGAAAACACTGAAAAGTGCCTACATGTTGCTAATTCACAAACTTCTTTTTCTGAGAATTCAAGTGCTTGTCTTTTAGATTTGATTAATTCATCTGACACAAACAATTACCAAGCTTCAAGAATTTAATTAAAATAACAGTAACTTTAATAAAATGAGAAGATATAGCCTATTTACATGTTTGCATTCATTTGAATTAAATTATACTTCTTGAGTTGAATTCAAGCTAAGATGGCCTTGAATCTTTTTTTTTTTTTTACCCTGTGGGAACCCAAGGCAAATGCATCACTTCAAACATTTCTTCATCATCCAAGGGATAAACATGGTTGGGAGCCTCTTATGTCATGGATTTCATGACTAAACTTCCTCAATGTGCAGAAGATGTATGTTCGATGCATGTTTCGTATTGTTTGGCGTGTCAAAGCTTTGTCACTTTTGGAATTTTTTTTTGCTGATTTTTGGATTGTGGTTTGAATAAACTAAAAAAAATATGTTTCATCCTTATTGCTTTGGTCAAACCTGGCAAAAACAATGCTTAGGTTTAAAAAATGAGGAAAAAAAACCTTGAAAACCTTTTTTAAATGAGAGTTCTTTCAGAAACGTATTTGAAGATTGTGCTGCGTAGGTTGCATTTAGTCTAGCTTCATTGAATTATGCTTTTGTTTATTTCTTTGAATTTCATTAGAGAGATGGGTGGGTTATAATTTGGTTCAGGTTTYATTCAGGTGTTGCGGTTACATTGCGCTGTGAAGAGAGAAGGTGAAAAAGAAAGTCTAACTTGCGTGGAGGTGTGAATGTGTTTGTCATTCTGTTTGCCCAGCGTAGCCGTCAAACTGTCCTTGTTCTGCCCATGTGTATGCTGGGACAAGTCTCACCCCCCCAAGACCTTGAACACATTTGTCCTATTTTATATTCACTCCATTTACAAAAATGTGTTTTTTTAAGCTGTTTTGTCTTTTTCTTTGTAATCATAAAAGTGTCAAAATTTCAGATTGGCTCCACCTGCATCTCAGCTTGATGAAATTATAAAACAAACCTGACTGGAGTCTGAAACTGATGCTGAGATCAAAATGTGTTGATATACTGCAGAGTGATTGGTTTGATGGTTTCTGAGTAGAACTGGTGCTCCAATAAAATCCAAACCAGTGTGCTTTTTTAAATAAAAAAAAACAAAAAAAAAAACAAAGCCACCTACTCAGTGTAGATAATATTATTTTCTAAACAGCCCAGTTTCATGCTTTAAACAATAGGCATGTTGATTTCCATTTTGTGTGTCAATTTTTACATTTTTAGCCATTTTTAGTGTTTCTCAATATGTGAATAAGTTTGTGTTCTCTCCATTTGAAGCTAACATCAGTTTGTGATAAATGAGATCAATCAAAAATGGCTGTGGATGAATAAAACTGTACACAAAATATATGTTTTATTTTTTTAATACTAGGATTGTCTGAGGTCAACCTTGAGTAAAACTGGACTAAGTATGTAGGTAAAAAATAAATAAATAAATAAAAAGTTCAGTTATTGGTCTTGGCTTGCCAGTCTCAGCAAACAGGCTTTGGAAACTTTATTATAAATATTGCTACAATTAAATGTGCCCAGTTTGTTGAGTAATTCATTGCTTTGTTTATGAAACACAAGATTTCTGTTGAAATTGGCGAACATTATTAATGTGTTTACTAGCGGCAGCATACGKTACATGTGGCCCCCCAAAATAATTGACTTGGGGGAATGCGATGCAGTCGTCTAAGCAAAACACACCCTTTTCATTATAAATGTCTYGCTGTCAAGACTTTAATTAGTTCYTAACAGGTTTTAAATTAGGTAAATTTAGCCTCGGAATGAACAACACAATATTTTACACAATGCCACTCATTAGTACTTGAACAGATCCACTAACGTCCCATCACAGACATTTTTATGAAGTTCATGGTCTGGATTTTTACCATGAGCCAATAAAATTCCATGTTTTTCAGATGTGCTGTTAAAAACTTGATGCTGYGTTTCAGATCAGTGTCCTGTTGCGTGAATCCATTTCTCCAGCTGTTGAACAGATGTTCCCACATTCAGTTTGTGTTATGGTTAAAACAGCTTCACCTTGTTCTTGTTTGTCAAACGGTTGTTGCTCTGGAAGTCTTGTGGCCTATTCAGTTGTAACTTTGTAAAACTAAACTGTGCTTCCAGGGTTTACAGAGAGAAGACATTTCTTCTAGCTTTCTTTWGACTAATTGAATGTGTATAAACTTTAAAATTGAGCATCCCAACAAATTCATTTTTTAGCTCTTGTACACCCCAATGTCAGATCAGTAGGAAAATTCACTTTTATGGAGTTTGCCAGTAGTTTTGAAGGATTTCAMTTGTCTAAATACTTAATGGTTCTAACTCATTAAGTCCATTGCTGCTTTTCCCCCCCAACAATACTACATTAACACACATCTGAATACTTTACACCAACAAACTGGAGAGACAAAAATCTGGATCGTT